AGGGTCTAGTTTAGGGTTTAGGGTTCAGGGTTTCGGGTTCATAGCGTCTAGTTTAGGGTTTAGGGTTTAGGGTTTAGGGTTTAGGGTTTAGGGTTTCGGGACTAGGGTTTAGGGTTTCGGGTTTCGGGTTTAGGGTCTCGGGTTCCGGGTTTGGGGTTTCGGGTTCAGGGTTTCGGGTTCAGGGTTTTAGGGGGAGAGAGGGAGAGGGAGGGCAGGAAAGAGACCCCTATTTGAGGGTTTGGGCTTCTGGAAGGACGCGTAAGGGTTCTCGCGCTGCTTCATAGGGCCTTTTGTTGGGGTTCTTCAAGGAGGCCATGACGATTACGGGACCGCTTTCAGCATGAGGAATCTGGTAAGATCTGCTGCAAGGCTTCTTAGAGATCATGGGGGTAAACTGGGCCCTGGGCGCTCTGGGACTCTTGGCTGGGTTAAGGGTTTAGGGTTTAGGGTTTAGGGTTTAGGGTTTAGGGTTTAGGGTTTAGGGTTTAGGGTTTAGGGTTTAGGGTTTAGGGTTTATTCATCTGGTAAGTCGTACCTGCGTTCCGATTGAGCATCCGCGTTTGACGGCCCTGCCCGCTCCGCAGACAATCCAACAACCCCAAACACCAAAGATTCCTAAGCCGGCTAGACCCCAAACCCCGAACCCATCAATCCCTCAACCCCCAAACTCCAAACACAACATCGCCGATCTCAAAGGTCTTCGACCTGTTGGAGATGTTTCGAATTGGGGGACCAGCGTGGCACTCAGTTTGCTGAGTCGCTGGGCATTTTCGTGAGATGTTCAGCGAACGGGGTCCGAAGGTTTACATGATCTGGGGCTTGGAATTTAACACCGAACAGGAAGTCTATCTATTTATCTATCTATCCGTCTATCTGTCCAACTATCTGTCTGTCTACTTATCTACAGACTCATGTTGCCCTGTGGCAAGTGGTCCGATCCGTAAGCAGCGCGTTGCCTAGGTCCCGCACACCAATTATCTTTTCCTCGGCGATTACGTCGATCGTGGGCCTTTCTCGGTCGAGACGATTGTGCCCAGTTCGGCATGTTTCAGTGCTGTTGCGTCGGCACCATCCGCGAATTCATGCTGTCTTGCCCACAGGTCGTGGAGTGGTGTTGGTCCGGACCAACTTTTACAGTGATTCAAGAAATTGGGGATGATTGGCATGGGTGATTTTTGCCACATGTTCGGCCGCTCATCAGCAACTCACAATCAGGCACAACATGGACAAATGAGGATTCGTTCTTTGTGCTGCTGTTCTTTGCAGCATGCCAGTCGCCAGCAATTTTTCCCTAAACCCTAAACCCTATAGAAACCTCGGCTCGTCCTTGTCTCAAGCTCTGGTGCCCGGACTCAGCAAAGTCTTGAGTTCTTCCGTGCGAGAATGCCTTGAGACCAATGCCCAACGTAAAGGCATATGCCGGCAACAAAGTGTTGTGGAGGTTTAGGCAGACCTTGAACCCTGAATTCAAGAACCTTCTGGAGAACGAGTCATGGCAGTGCATGGTGTGTCCCAGGTGGCTGGGCCACAGGATTTTTTTGCCTTCCGGCAGGGTTGATCATGCGAGGAATTGGGACATATATTTGCCTGGTTTTGGCAGTGCTCTTGGGCTTCTACTTAGCTCTCGCTCCCTGGGATGATGTGGTGGACATCGCTTTAGCGGTGGACCGATTTCTCGGTCAGGCACCGCTCATGGATTCTAGTGAGTTCAAGACCACGAAACACCTAGAGGAGGTCGAGAAACCCCTGTGGATTCCGTCTCCGTTTTTGCCTTTTGCGCCTCTTACTAAGCAGAATGAGTTGGTTGCGCATCACAACGAGTCTTTGCGGGACATGCCCGAAGACTGTGCCACTGCGGCGGCGGTAGACATCTTCCCCAACATCACCATCGCCCAGGCTTGCCGCGCATGGTGCCGAACGCAGCTTGGTCCAGGCAGTTCCTTGGTGCATGCTGTGAGCCCTGTACATTGGGTCGTTGTCAAGCGAAGTCCAGTGTATTGGTTCAACGTGGACTACAGCATGTGCTTCAAGGCAGAGACCGCATCATGGGCGCTCTCCTGGTTCCCTTCCTTTTGGCATGCCTTCTTGGTCGCCTTGATATATGGAAGCGTGAGTTTCATCACCTTGGCCCGCCGACTGCAGGAGCATCCCGAAGAGTTTCTTCCCTTGGGGCCGAACCCAGACGAGCGTTCTGAGGAATTCAAAACATACTTCGAGCGGCGCTGTGGTCTTCAGCTTTTCGAAAATGATCGTGCTGCAGAACGATCTTCGCTGATAGTCTCGGTTGGCTGTCTACTGCTGGAACCAGCTGGAGATGTTTTGGCAATCCTTGGGTATCTGCGGTACGGCCAGCCCATATATGCCATGGTCTCCACGTTCTTCGTCGTTTGTTCTTGCCTCCATGCATGCGACCTTTTCCAGATGAAGGGGTCGGAAGCCATGGCACAGAGTTTCGCACGCGGCTTCGCGACGAAAGCATTGTTTCAGCACATGGTCTCCGAACTCTTCGAAGGTCTGGGTGGCACGGTAGTCCAGCTTTATGCTTTCCTCACCATGCGATTTTTCATCTGCGTGGAGGATCCGAATATGATTGTTACCTTTGCCAATCTTATGGTAAGCGCATGCGTGTCGCTTACCATGACGCTGCCTAACGGCTCACAGTCACTGTGGCTGATCTTGAAGAGTTCCGGTCCAGATTTCTTTGATACGTTCTGTGATGTGCAGTACAGCAAAAGAAAGGTCCCTGGCACGTGGAAGTACATGGCATCTTTTGCCTGCGTGCTGATTGCAGTCGTAGCTGCAGAGTCCTATCACACCTCCTATGAGAAGATGGTCCGTCATGTGGGATCGTGCGGCTTAACACCATCAACTTCCGAGCTTCTGACATGGTTGGTCCCGAGTCTCCTACTTCTCACCTGTTGCGTTGCTATATGCTGTGGGCCTGTAATTCTTGTGCTGTGTGCAGTTTGTAAGCCCTTTGCGCTGTGCATCTGCTTGTGCTTTGGCGGCGGAGCATGTGGAGCAGCGGACAGTGAGTCCGAGTCTAGTGACTCGGAAACCGTCACTAGCCTCGGCCTCATCAAGGACCCGGACCCCTAGAGCCCTAGACGTCTTGGCGCTTGGCTGAGGAAGAACTTTGCCTTCGGGAGGGCATGAGTCTCGCAGCTTTCCACTCTGTACTTGGAGGATCATGGGACTTAGTAAGTATGGTTATAAGTACGTTAATTGGGGTTATAAGTAGTTAATTATAAGTATAGTTACCCTAATATTACCCTTAGTTACTAAGTCCCACGATCCTCTAAGTGCCAAGCGCCCGAAACCCGCTCCAAAGCCCGACTGCCGTGCCCAGAGACTCCAATACCCCTTAATTAAGGAATACACCATAACTTATAGTAGGATCCCTAATAAGATTTAAGGTATATTCCTTAGTTAAGGGGTATTGGAGTCTCTGGGTGCTTTCATCGCCAGGCTGCTGGCGCTGCTGAAGCTCAGCCACCCAGAGCGAATCACGCCGGGAGCTCAAACCTGATGCCCCTAATTTTCCTTGAGCCACACTATGAAGTTCTAGATCATTTGAATATCCCTAAACCCTAAACCCTACATGTTCCTCGCATCAAAACTGGACATCCTCGAAGTTGTAGGTGAAAATCATAGCCATGTGCTCTTCAACAAAGCGAGGCATAGAACCCAAGAGATCTTGGTTTAGGGCGTAGGGGTTTGCTTTGGTGTCCTGTTTCCACGCTCAGCAAGAGATCAGCATGGCTTTACGTGTCGGATGCTTCATTGGCAGCTGCCACATCAACGGACCCTAAACCCTAAACCCTAAACCCTGAACCCTAAACCCTAAACCCTAAACGGACCATGCCGCAACGCGGTGACGACGTAAATGAACCTTGAACCCTCACTAAACCCCAACCCTAAACCCCAAAAGCCTTTTGAAGCCAGGGATCGGGAAGTATGCAGGACCCGAACCGGTTTAAGGTTTAGGGTTTAGGGTTTAGGGTTTAGGGTTTAGTTGGGGCACAACAGCCCTGAGATAGGAGCACTTTAGACTTTAGACCCCATCTGTTAAGCGGAAATTCCACGCCGCAAGCTTAATCTAAAGCCTATCACCTTCGGCCTTGTGTCCCTAACATGTAAATTACTTGAACCCTGTAGTCTCAAAGCTTTAGAAGCCCTTTTCAAAGTCTACTACAAGTTCTAGTGCAGCTTCACACTTCGAAGTTGATGTGCAGTTACGTATCTCGGGTCATTTGTTACAAGTAGCTATAACGATCTGGTAGTCACCGTGCTTACGAGCCTACTTGCTAAACCCTAAGCCCCAAACCCTCAGCCCTAAACCGAAGCCCCAAGCTTTGTTAGATCCAGGCTATTGCGTGGCAACCATGAGAGCCGGCAAATCACGCAGGCGATGTGTCGTCTGCCAGAGCAGTCGTCGGGGAGGGGCCAGCGTTTAGCGGAGTTCATGAAGGTACTTGAGTGTACTAAACCCTAGACAACCCCTAAACCCTAAACCCCTAAACCCTAAACCCTAAACCCTAAACAAACCCTAAACCTTAAACCCTACACCCTAAACCCTTAAACCCTAAACCTTAAACCCTTAAACCCTAAACCTTAAACCCTAAACCTTAAACCTTACACCCTAAACCCTAAACCTTAAACCCTAA